ACACATTGTGCTCGTTTAGCACACTATTTCATGTAGTTTTTATCTGCTGGAGGGTCGCGTAGGGGAGCGTAGCGCAACAAAAATAGAAGAGCCGCGTAAAATAGAGAGTTGTCGTGCAACAGACGGGGTTGTCGCGCCGCTCCCGTTGCCGGTGGAGCCGCTGTAATTGATAAACAGGGGGGCGAGCTGCTACGGGACTCACGCTGCAGACGTGTCATGCCGCTGACGTGCCCGGTGGAGCCCAGCCGTTAGGGTCGCTCTTACCATCGCTCTTTAAGAAGCTCTTAACAGGAGCTGTCCACTACCGCGCTGCTGAAACTAAATCAATCAATGTCAGGCACATCGATCAGCCACCACTTAACCAGCGCATAAGTCACACACACAGCGCTGCTACCTAACACACTTATTCCCTGCTGCTGGTGTGTATGTGTGCTCTAATAATTCTAATGAAAAACTAAGACATAAATATTTGTTAATGACCTATTTTCATGACGAAAACAAGACTACAACTAACTAAGAAGTAGTCTTGGTAAGAGAATCATGAGGAAATGTATTATATTTAAACAAAAAAACACAGACGTCTTGCTGAGGCCGGTGCCGTCTCCCAGCACCTCCAGGAAGCTCCCCACTGCGGAAAAACGCAGCGCAGCTTGGCACTGCACCTCCGGGCTGAGGGCCAAATTGCACCGGGTTGCCCTCCGGATGTGTGGAGACACTAGTTGATGAGGCGTTGTATTGCAGCACGAGAGTAGCGGGTGGAGCGTCCCTTGATGAGATTCCAGCTGAGCTCAGTTACACCTGTCAGCTGCCTGATGTCTGAATGTCGCAGGTTTGGAGGGTGGATGTGTTTCTGTTGCGCCCTGACGCATTTTCTGGATGTGGTAAACTATCTGATATGTGCATGCAGATGTGGGATATGTGCAGACAAATTATGATAAATGATCGTCATGATGATTCATTTCATTTGTGTGCCTGATGTGCACAGCACATACAGGAACACACTTGTTATTCCTCATACTTATTTTTCATCTTATTTCGTCGTATTATTTTTCTTCCGCCAGATTTGGGTGCGTAACTTGTGCCACAGCTCTGAGTGCACACAGGGTCTTCATGAAACATATAGAGTCAAGATTCAAAGTGTTTATTGTCATATGCACAGTGAGGAGACGTGTTTCCCTGCAGGATGAAATTTGTTCTTTTCTGTCACCAATTAATGCTAAACAATATAAATCTGAAGTATAAAATAGATCAAAATATATACACTGTGCACTGTTTTAACATCTCCTTGCTTATTAATGTGCCTGACGCGGCTGGAGCTGTGAGCGTTTGGTCGCTAAGAAGACTGTTAGGAGTGGGTCTGCTCGTTTTACAACTCCTTCTTAGTGAAAGATCTTCTTAAGCTAAGAGCGATCTGGGAAACGCGCTTTTCTTTTACGGGAGGCTTAAGAGCATTCTTAAGAGCAGAGGGCAGTGGCGGTCCTAGCACATTTGGCGTCTTAGGCGAACCTCCTGAGTCGGGAAGCACTTAGAGCCTGTGGCTACCCTAAATGGACCTTTGCCAAAACCTCAGACAGACCCAGAGCACACAGAGAGGAAGAGACACAAAAACAAAACAACATTGCCATTCCTTATGTTGTGGGAGTGTCTGAGATACTCAACAAACACCACATCCCTGTGCACTTTAAACCCAGTAACACACTGAGACAGAAGCTTGTCCACCCTGAGGACAAAACACCCAGACAACAGCAGAGTAATGTAGGGTGTGCAGTTCAGTGCAGCCAGGAAATGCACAGGTTTGTACATTGGTGAGACAAAACAACCACTCCACACACTCATGGCACAGCAGAGGAGAGCCAGCTCCTCAGGTGAAGACTCAGCTGTCCACTCACATCTACAGGAGAAGGGACACTCCTTTGAGGACAGCAATGTGCACATCTTGGCCAGGGAAGACAGATGGTTTGAAAGAGGCCTACTACGTCAAACTGGAACAACGTGGCCTTTATTGTGAGCAATTATGAGATGACAGACAGATTTCACCATCAGCAGATGGATTTATTATTGGTTTAGTTGATGTTAAAATCACATCTGCTATCATGGAATCCTGTGGTTGGTCCGTCGTCTTTCACAACACAAACACACCACACCAGAGTCCGTTTGGACTCTGACCAAGACCCAACTTACTGAGCTATTTGATCGTCATATAAATCATATCATGTTGAGGTAAGGGTAAACAAGAGCACCAAAATCTAGACATTATCACTATGTGTATTAAAGTAAAGAGTAAAAGCCAAGCAAGATCCAGATCTAATGATAGGATCAAGCCCTCTTGGTATTGTTTTAAGCTAATGTGCAGAGAGCGGCTGTTTTGCTGCTGTTCTAAGAAAGCAAGGAAAAGGAACTGGAGGAGCTCAGTCTCACTCCCAAGTTGTCGAAATCTGGCGCTTGGGCAGTGACTTGCGGCATCAGACACAGATGATAAAAGTCGTCCTTTAATGTCGGCATGCTACGCGGCTGGTTGCCTTTATAGTTTAACAGCACTCTGCTGCATCAGGGGGAAACGCAGCGCGACAGGGATGAAAGTTATGGTGACAAATGCTGTAGGGTTCAAAGCCAAACACTGTTCCTTTCTCATTAACCCAACCACTTCCTTTTGTTTCCTAAATCTAACCATGTGTTTGCTTTGATCAACACCACAGTCAATTTCTGGCTCAGGAAGAGCCAATCACGACACAACCAAACCAAACAGGTCAGGTGTGACGGCACCCTTACTGACCTTGGAAATGGCTCATCTGAAGGCCTCACAGGGCGTACGCCTTATCTTCCCTCGCTGTAAGTGGCACAGCAGCAGTCCTCCATCAGTGGATCAGCTCAGTCACAGCACTGTTGTGTACTCACCAGTGTTTTGACTGCACTCACAGCACAAACTCACCAAAGTAGTGACATTAAAGACTTGAAGCCCAAAAGGACTCTTCAGTTGCCAGTTATGTGTGTAAAGAACAACCTGCTACACAACAGGAGCCGACAGTTGTATTGATCAGAGTTGAAGCGTATCTGTTTGTCAGACTAATGTGAAGCAGACAACTGAAAAATGACACACGTCCAGACTTTAAGAGGCTGAAATAGATCAAGGAGGACCAGAACAAGCTCCTTCTATCAGACCTCAGTGTCTCTGATCGCTGAGCTGCCAACAGGTGAGGAGGATCCAAAACACTCAATATGTTTACATGACATTAGAGGCAAAAGATTTATTGTGTTAGTCAGACTGAAACCAGACTTTTAAAATACATGTAAGCATGTTAGTCAGACTAACACACCCAGATAATGTGATTGAGAGTCGACCAAAATCGGACCCAAACTGGCCGAGGTGCTTTGCACATGCTCCACAGTTTCCGCTCCAGGCTTTGACGCGCAAGTCCAATAGCATCAAATGCACAACAGAAGAAGAGGCCAGTAATGTTCATACTGAGTGCAAATAAAACAATTTGCATGAGTAGATTACACGTAAAGTTTTACAGTGGGACTACCAGATTGTTATTGACACAAGTTAAATAATGTTAAATAATTTTTGTTGGGGAAACTATTTCTTTTAAAGCTGATGGTGTCAGTTCCTTAAATATCAATCAGTTTATTCACTTCAAGAGCTGAGCGAGTGACTGCTCATGCAGGTGGAGTAGTGATGGGCAAAGCAGTGCTTTAGATGTTACTGAATCACTACAATCAGTTCATTAAAAAGATTCGTTCAAAAGATTCGTTCACCAAATCGTTCAGTGCTTGGTGGGAGGAGCCCTGACTGTGTACTTGACTCCTGGCTACATTAGCCGTTAGCTTGGAGAAAACGGTCCCTATGAAAGTGTATCGCTGAGAAGAATTTGAATCACTCAGGGATGGGGGGTTCCGTCGTTCACCGAGTGATTCGTTCACGTCGAGTGATTCGTTCGTCACGCAGTAGGCAGTCCCTCCCTGCACCCTGGCTGCCTCGCAACCCGTAAGTGATTCATCGTTTGCACGGACTGAATCGGCAGTTCCACTCCCGGCCTGCACACTCACTGCTGAGCTCAAGTGAACTGAGAAATGAACGAATCAGTTCCAGAAGTGATTCAGTTCAGTACGTTCACTCAACAGATTTGTTCTTTTGAACAAATCGTTCACCAACAACACAACACTAAGGTGGAGCACCAGCGACATCTTTTCTCAAGAAAAGCACATCTGGGTTCCACAAAGAAAAGAAAGAAAGAAAGCAAACAGAGTCTGTAAAATGAAAGTGTGCATGAGAGACGCATGGATCAAGAGAGGAAGGGCAGGGCGCCACAGAAACGCCCCTCTTCAACATTCAGAAGAGTCAGAGTTGGGATGAAATCCTGCCGCAAATAATGTGTTTAAACTCTAACGTCTGAATTAAAGAGAAACCAGTACTTGTGGGGAAATACAGTGTGTGTTCATAGTGTTTGGTTTATAAATGTTAATATGAATAAAAACTGTAAACTTAAGCATAAGCAGTTCACTGAAACATATTGTATGATCTGTTTCCTTCACTTATGAACACTGCTTCAGGAAGAGATTTACAGTGGGACTACCAGATTGTTATTGACACAAGTTAAATAATTCATCTTTTTTTGTTGGGGAAACTATTTCTTTTAAAGCTGCTGGTGTCAGTTCCTTAAATATCAATCAGTTTATTCTGTGAGGATATACTGCCGATAGAAACAGTGACATTAATATCATATCTACATTCATGTGGATATTTTTGTAAACAGATATTTTCCTCTCACACAGTTTAAGGTCACTAACATGGACTCCTTTTAAGGTGCAGTTTTCCCAAACTCTTGTTACTGTTTTTCTGTGTGGTCATGTAAAACAGTGTTTGTAGAATGATGATGTCATCGCCTCAATCGTTGTACAACACACCCACTGTGGTGCGCTGCAGTGGGCCTACAGGATCTCATTTGACAGCCAGTCAGAGGCAAAGACTTCAGCACATGAAAGGGTTAAAGCTTGTTTTATTACATAAATATATCAAAACCAAATGGGGAAAATATTTTCATGAGGTCCTCCACTCTACTAATAAAAGTCAGTGTCTACTTAGCGGGAGGGGGGAGTCCAAGGTCAAAGGTCGCAGCGCCGCAGGTTTCTTGCTTCTTCAGTTGGTTCACAAATCAGCACACTGGGTGCAGCCTCCTCTGAGCCACACCGTGGACGAGACTGGTAACACTTCAGCCCTCAGGACGCCAACTCTGCCTTTAGGGCGGCGCTGCAGGTGGAGCCTCACCTGCACAGAGAGAGCACAACCAGAATGAGAGGGAATTATACTAAGTAAATGATATTCACACAGACCTCACGTGCACCTCATACATGCACAGAGAGAGCACAACCAGCAGCACATGCTGCAGTAACCTCAGTGTGAGGAGGCGTGCTCAGACACGCCTTCAATCAGACCTACGCTCAGCCATCGGCTCACAGCAAATGTGAATTCAACAATAGTGGACTACAGGTTTGCTAACGTTTGGTTAGCACCACTCCATCTGATGACTACTTCACACTTAAACTTAATGCTGCACCACCTCACGGACATACCGAGCCATTTGCTGCACCCAGTCTTTTTGCTCCACCTCAGCATCTGTGGTGTAAAGCAGCACATCCTCACTCCGACCTCGTCACATATCAACGTTTGGTCTGGGACGCTGTGTCAACTTCTTTCTGTTACATGCATTGTCTGAGGTGTATATCATTCAGTCTTGTGGATCTGAATCATACAATTATTCAAATCTTCAGAAAGTTCTTACAGTGTTGTTTGTGCTGTTGCATCCATCACAAGGTGTTGCCACATGCTCGCAACAAAACTGATCTTTGATGACTGGATAGCTGTTTTAACGATGCTTTAGAACCTGCTCATTTGATTTACCAAACCTGTTCAAAGTTTTCCCGGCAGGAAATGTGAAGATCCATTGATCTTCACTGATTGATTGATGTATTGATTCAATGATCATCGATGCACAGTGAAAACATCAGTCCATATCATCATCTTTAGGTTGTGGCACCTTTCTTTGGAAATTCTGTGTCACTGTTCAGCAGGACCCATGATGCGAGCAGGCAGTGAAGAGAGAGACGAGGTTGTTACTGACCTGTTTGCATTGTCTGTTTTCAAAATACACTTCTGTTTTCACAGGAAATGTACAGTTTGCATACAGTCTCTTTCAAAATAAAAGCACTACGTTGGTACAACACTAAGAATTAATGTTTTTTCCTTTCAACAACACACACATGGTTGGGTTTAGGAAAAAAGAACAGGGTTTACAGTCTTACAGGAAGTGAACACCTGCCTCCTGAGTGTAAGTCTGTGGTTGTTGGACCCATCCACCTCTCCCAGCTGCCCTACTCAGACATCTGCCACCTTAGCTTTCGTTGTTGTCCTGCGGTATTTCCCTCTGATGCTGCCATTAAACAATAAAGATGACCAGCCTATAAAATAATATATAACTAGTCCATACCCATTGGTAGTTTTGTCACCTTCTACCTATGCCAATCCTCAATGCCTATGTGCAGGGTCCACAGGGGGAGCCACAGCGATCGGTCGCATTTTAGCCATTTTGAAGCATTTTTCTGTTGTTATAGCGCCACCCAGTTGCCAATTAGAGTTAAATTTCTCCAGTCACCTTGAGGCGTCCTGTTCTACATATCTACCAAGTTTAGTAAAAATCCATATGGCGGTTAGGCCTAGATAAGAAATGAGCTCTCTAGCGCCCCCATTTTGTTTGATGGGCTCAATAATGGAGGGGTCCCCTCAGATTATGTGTGGTCATATGCCTACAAAGTTGCGTGGTGATGGGTGAAACCCTTGAGATTTTATACACCTTTATGTGATGAGCCACGCCCTCCGCAATATTCATTGCCTTATAGAAGCTCAGTTTTAGTAAGTTTTCCAACTTTTGCCAAGAGGGAACTTTAGATATTGGTCCCTAGATTATGTTCACCCAGTTTCATGCAGATCGCTCAAACTTCCTAGGAAGAGATCCATTTGAAGTGTTTTTCAAAAAATTCAAAATGGCGGAAAATCTATATAAGCGGAAGTTATGGGTTCTTGAGGCAAATGTGTTCCTCATGAGGAGAGGCATCTCTGTGCAAAGTTTCATGTCTCTACCACATACGGGGCATGAGATATGCCCATTCAAAGTTTGACATTTCAATTGGTTGCTATAGCGCCCCCCTTTGGCCAATTGATGTAATATTGCTTCATTGGCATCCTCCCATGACCCTCTACCACTGTGCCAAATTTCACATGGATTGACTAAGTCAGTGAGGAGAAAAATGTGGAACACACACACACACACACACACACACACACACACACACACACACAGAGTTTTCATCATTATATAGTCAGATTATAATGTTCATTTAAAATTATGATCCACGTTGTGTTATAGGTCAGTTACACTGATGAGCCAATACATTGTGAATGAAGTAAAGCTAAGTGGAGTCAAACTATTCATGTGTGTACAGCATGTGTTGGTGCATGTTGGCTGTCAAGTAAAAATGTCCTACAACAACTGCATACTAGATAAAGTTGCTCATTCTCTCTCAGCAGGCAGCTGGGTGGTAACATCTCCATTCGTCCCACCTGTCCGCCGGCGCTGCCTTCCCCCAGGTTTAGAGTTTGTTGTTAATTCTGAGTTTCTTTCAGAGTTGGCTGGATGTTTGCCTTCTATAGTTCTGTGTGGCTCGGGGATTCAGCTGATGTCGGCTGCCGGCCTGTTCGCCCGACAAAGGGGCAGCGAGGGACCGAGAGGAAGAGGGTGAATGAAATGAGAAGGGGAGATCTTTGGTCTTCTTCTTGTTCTATAGTCTTCTGTCGAGGGTTTACGTTGTCTGATGTCAATGGTGCGAGACTTTACACCTCCCACCACTGAATCCCTGCTGTCTGGTTCTTTTCTCTGTTGAACTTTCTTTCTAAAGAATTAATAAAGTTTATCACATGTATCTAATTCTGTGGCTCTCTCAGAGGCTGAAGGACACCAAATGCGACCCACTTCAGATGAAACCACGCCCACTTCAGCATGACGAAAGCAGAGTACCAGACGTGATTGGCTGCCAGAAGAAGAAAGAGGATACACTTTATTAAGTTTCAGTTTTTTATGTCAGTTTTCTCACACACAGGCCTGAAATACACACACATGCCAAAAGTTGTCCTATGAGATGGAGAGATGTCAGAACGAGGCCACAGACAGGCACCCTGAGAAGTTGAGGTTTCGGCTCTCCAGCTCCATATTTGGAGAGGACAGAGACTTGACCCATCGACCCTCTGGTTCCCAACCCAAGTCCCTGTGGACTGAGCTACTGCTGCCCAGCCTACTGTGGCGGCATGCAGGAAGTCAGGTGCTGGTGTAAAGAGCTGGTGCCCTGTAAAACAACCCAGTGTGAGTTCATCAGTGGCACCGAACACCAACCTGACCAAAAACCACTGAGTAAAAATAAACCCTCTCACCTCTCTCCTTAGAGGCAGGATGTTGGGTTTCAATGCCCTACTCCCTGCTCATGTTTCTGCAGTATGTGTCTTGTTGTCATGTGTAATGCTTCCCGTGTTTATCAGCCATTAAACCAGCAACATGTGTGTTACAGCTCTGTGTGTGTGTGTTCTCTGCTGCTGTCCCTTTTCCCTCCCTTGCAGGTCTGCCCAGGTGTGCTGCATTAGTTAACGAGGTGCAGCACACCTGGCATGGAGGAGGTGGTTCAGAGCTCCTGTGGCAGCAGCAGAGGAGAGAGGCCTCTGGTGTGGGGACTGCTGGTCCTGCTTAAATATGTCTAATGTGGTTATTTTGGGTCAGTGATGGAGTTTTGGGGCGTAACAGTGTGCAGATGAATGGTGTTCGTCTTCCTCCTGTGAGGCAAACATTTAAACACCCCGTGTATTTGCCAGCACAGCTCCGCCAGATTTTTCTCTACACACACTGCCCACATTGCATTGACACAGAGTTGGTTGAAAATCAGCAAAGTTTGCCCTTAAGTTTCCATAACACTATCGTCCAAGCAACTGTAGCTGTCATGTTTCACAGAGAGAGATCTTCAGGGGCTGGACAGACAGTCTAATCAACAAACTTTTCGGCTTCTCCAGATGTCAGGGAGCGCAGCAGAGGCAGTGCAGGGTACCTCCATGGGTGCATTAGCTAGCTAGGCGGGTGTTAATTTTGGACCCTGAGTGCAGGGATTATAAAATATCTTGGAATGTATTTTTTCTATTTTTTACGTTGCATTTGTTACAGTATTTTTTTATTATTAATTATTTTGCTTGCTGACTAATTTACTTAATTAAATTTCAAATGCTTGGGTTTTATTTACCACACTCCAAAATCTTTTTTGACAGTGCATGTAGTAGAGGTGGTGGGGCCTTTTGCATATCTGTGCCCAGGGGCCCATTGTCTCATTATTTGCCCACGGTGCCACGCCCTCTCCTGCTGTAAATTAGTTTCCTCTGGGAGTCTTGGCAAGGCTGTTTCTTGACACAGGACAGGTCTGTTACCGTTACTGTACCTGCAGGTACCCAGTATTTAAAAAAATACTCCCCAAAGTCTGGGGCTGAAAGAGAGGAAGAAGAGGTGGAGGATGAAGATGAAGAGAGACATGTTGGCTCAATATTATGACACGTAACACATTATTTATTTTCACATCTACTATCGAGATAAGGATTTTGTTCAACAAGGGTTTCAAATGAGGATCAGTGAAATCAGATCCTTCTTGACCTTGGAAACAACAAAACTCTCAGCTCATCGTCTTTTGACCATATCACTGTGTATGTCTTCATGGCTCAGGCAAGGAGGGGGAACATTTGCCATAACAGCTCCGTAGTGTTTGGAAATGGAGCTGCAAATTTAACAAAGTGCAACCAGTGGTGAAGGGCGGTGAAGGAGACTGCTGAAGACTATGTTCGCACCTCTAGTAGAGCTCCAGATGGAGGCAGGGGCCCGGCTGACAGCACATCAGCACAGGGGCCTGCTTATAGTCAACAAATCATCATGCTGGAATTGCCCCCCCCACACACACACACACACACACACACACACACACACACACACACACACACTCCAACACACACCATCCTCATAGTACAGGTTTATAACAGTAGAAATGACGCAATACAACACAACAAAGGCCTCATTTCCACCACATGGTACAGCTCAGATCGACTTGCTTGGAGCCATTCTCCTTTTTGGTTTTCCATTTGCAAAGTTTGTGAATAGCACCTGGTATCTGCTACTGTTTGAGGATACCTTGTGCGTCATAGGTAGACGTGAGCGGCACTGACAAAGCAGATATATTTGACGAGCTGGGATGAGAACGCGTCAGCTCATCAGCTGAGATCTTGCCCAGATTGACGCGTAGTATCTGCAGTAACAACACGAAATCAAGAGACAGTCAGGATGAACCATGCTGTGGAAATGAAGCAAAAGGCTTCGAGGGAAGTGTCTGCTAAACCCAGTAAACATGACATTGATGTTGTGGCATGAGTTTGGTGTATGTGTGGGTGAAGATAGTGTTCAAATGTTGGCGATAGTGCTCCACTGTCCGTTTGCAATTCACCATTTTAAAAAGAGAAGATGAAGAAGAAGAAGAATTTGAGACAACACCACACTGTTGAAATTAGTGCACCACACAAGGGCGTAGCATACATAGTGTATGACACTGACGTACATCAATGAAAGTATGTGCTTTGAGGACACACTCTTAGCCTCTGCAAGTGTCTGTGCTCCTCTCCGTGCCTTACCTGTGAGCGAACAGCACATTTGTTATCTGAGGACACTTAACAGAGTGAAAGCTAATATAGTGTCAAAGAAAAGCTCAGTGTGTCCTTCCTCTCAGTCAGAGGAAAGTAGAGCAAACACCAGAGGTGGGATCAAGTCATTGTGTTACAAGTACAAGTTAGTCTCAAGTCTTTGCCCAGCTCAAGACAGTTAAGTTCCAAGTCAATCCATCCATTTTCATCCACTTATCTGGGGCCAGGTCTCGGGGCAGCAGGCCAAGCAAAGCACCCCAGACGTCCCTCTCCCCGGCAACACTTTCCAGCTCCTCCTGGAGGATCCTGAGGCGTTCCCAGACCAGATGAGATATATAATCCCTCCAGAGTGTTCTGGGTCTGCTTCGAGGCCTCCTACCAGTGGGACGTACCTGGAACACATCTAACAGGAGGCTCCCAGGAGGATCCTGATCAGATGTCCATTCCACGTTTCAAGTCCCAAGACCTAAACGTTCGAATTTCGAGTTCTAAACCAGTCGTTCTGCATTCTTCACCAAATGTAATGACATTTCAAGTAATAATATATAAAATTTACAAAAATCATGCTTTTAAAAATTCATAATTGTAGCTCTATGTGAAAACATATACACGGTGGTAAAGCTGTTAGCACTATCTCCTTACAGCAAGAGGGTTCCAGATTTGAATAATGCTTTCTGGCATTTTCATATGGCTCTTCTGTTTGATAATCCTTTACAAAAAAATATTTTTTTTGGAGTAACTACAAAGTTTGGGAACAGTTCTTGAAGACAGACCTTCAAGTGGGTAGCCCTGTTGCATGGAGATGCAAATCCCTGCTATGATAGGCTGACACACACTGAGTCAACACAGCCAGTACATATGTAAGGAAAAGGACCGTTGGATGAGCCTGGTCTCCGAAGTTGTCGAAATCTGGCACCTGGGTAGTGACTTGCGGTGTCAGAATCCAACAAAAAAAGGCGTCCTTTAATGTCAGCGTGATATGAGGCCGGTTGCCGTTAGAGTTTAACAGCAACCTGCAGCGTCAGGGGGAAACGTGGCGGGACAAGGAGGAAAGTTAAGGCAGCTAAAGTCTGAATGGGGTGGATGGGTCCAACAAACATCGACTTTCACCCGAAAGAGCGGTGCTCGTGTACTGTAAGACTCTAAAGCCGAACCCTGTTCTTTTTTCCTAAACCCAAACATGTGCGTTTGTTGTTAAAAGAAAAAAAAAGTAAATTTGTGGTGTTGAACCAACGCAGTGCTTTTATTTTGAAAGAGACTGTATGCAAACTGTACATTTCCTGTGAAAACAGAAGTGTATTTTGAAAACAGACAATGCATGTAACAGCCTGAAGTTGACACGGCGTCCCAGAACGTCAACAACCAACACACCCAGGGTACCTTGGACGTCACATGTGGACGTGGAAAGTCCATGACCAAACTTGGACATGTGACGAGGTCACAGTGAGGATGATGATGGTTGGTCGTGCAAAACAGAAAACAGAGTAAAAAAATAGTCAATAGATTGAGATGAGGATAGAAAGGAGCAGTCGAGTTACAGCTGATTCTATTTTCATGACCTACCAGCCTATTTGAGCCTAAATGTTGTCCAAAGAGAGTTTTTTGCGGTGCAAAAATAAATTTACAGTTTCAAACTTGCTTGACATTAAAGCAAGTCATTCCAATGACAGATGATATATTTTAGGATTAAACAATCTGTGTGTCCACTGCCTTTTCTGCATGATAAAAATAAAAACATAAAGAAAAAGGGCAAAAAAATAAAAATAAAAAACATAGTATCAGTGACGATAGTACAGGTGTAGACAAGAGAAAAATGTGAACTGGTATCAGTTGTCTGTGACACTTTATTTACAATAAACTCCCAAATCTTTAAAGGTGACTCCACTGGAAAGTAAAAGGAGAAAACCTGTTTAAACCCTTTCAGGCTTGAAGATGGAGTTTACTTTCACCTAATAAGATTAGTGTGCTGCTCGCTTCTTTCAGTGAGAGCATAAGCTCGACTCCATCACGGTGAATGGCACAATTAGCTGCAGAGGTGCTGTCAGGTATTACTGGCATCTGCAGTGAGAAATTAGGCTAAACTACAAAATAAATGGACAGGAGCCGTGTGCTCCCACACACAACTCATTCCCACCTCCCTCACCTTCCCTCGCCCTCCCTGTCTCCACGCCTCCTCCCGTCCCTTCCCTCTCGTTGCCTCCACTTTCCCTTTCTCACCCCGTCCTCTCCTCTCCCGTACTTCCCTTCACCTCTCTCTTGCCTCGCCTGCCTCCCCTTTACCTCCTTGCTGCCTCCCTATTATCTCCTATTTGCTCTCCTTTTGCCTCCCCCATCGCCCTCCTTCGGCCTGGCCTAACCAACCCGTGTCTATTCCTCAGTTATTGGATAATTTGGCTTTCTCCCACGTGTCTCTGTGCTAATTAAATGTGGTGTACACTGTCTAGAGAATGTCACAATTGATTTTTCTTTCTACAAGGAAGTGGGGAGCCATTTAATTTTGAGAAACCCACCATCTCCCCGCCTTGCCCCCCCCAACTCACACACACACACACACACACACACGCTAATCCTTGTACTTCTATCTTAAGAGAAACCTCTACATATTTACACTGCATTAACAAATCCTAGCTTTCTATTGCTGCACCATGACCCCTGACCCCCTGATCCTGCTGACACTGTGACACGTTATCACAGTCGGGCCAGCCCGTTATCAATCTGAGGTCATTCAATACCGACACTTTGTCAATGATTTCGGCGTCAGACATTGATGCCAAAAACATCTTTCACAGTGGTGTGACACACTGCCGGGCAGAGTGAATTCGTGATGCAGACAGGCCGAACCTTGTGAAGGTTTAT